TGTAGGGCCCAGGCCCCCACCCCTGCACCCGTGGTCCTCAGCTGGGGTGAGTGTGCCACAGCCTGGGGGTCACGTGGCAATGCCTGGAGACGTTTTGATCACAACTGGGAGATGCTAGGTCATTCCCGTGTGCCAGAAACAAGCCAGTGCCCATGGGCAGGAAGGAAGCCCCTCAGGCGGCCCATGGCACGGCCTCAGGTGGACACCGCACACAGGAGTGTGAGACGGAGGGTCGGTCCCGTCCATGACGGGAGGGCCCAGGGCGCACCGGGCCCTCTCGGTGCTGGAGAATTAGACTCCTGCTGTACGGAGGGGGCCAGGCCTCGAGTCCGCGGAGGAGGAAGGGCCTCAGCTGAAGTTTCTGCTCCTGTAAATCCTGATCCTGGATCCCTAAGAAAGGAGCGGAGGGTGGGAGAGGGGAGAACCGGGGTCCTGGAAAGAGAGGAGCAGAGAGCGGGGCCCCAGGGAGAAAGGCAGCAGCTCCCACACCCATCCTGAGCTACAGAGGGTCGCTCCACGTTCCCTGTTCCCCAAGAGGCAAGGCCCCGGGTCCCTGGTGAGGGAGGATGGCTCTGGGCCTTGTGGAGAGAGGGCAGGAGCTCCTGGGCCCAGGATAAGGAAGCACCACCCGTCGGGACGCCTGGGACCTCACGTGGGGCGGTGGTCCTCAGATGCCGGTGTGCATAGGGTCACCCGGGGACTGGCTGCATGGCCCTGAGGGGTCCGACGGGTCGGGGGCAGGAGCTGGCGTTTCTAACAAGCTCCCAGGTGAGCGGTACCCGCAGAGACCACACTTAGAGCTGGGCGGCGGAATCCGACTTCCTGGCTCCTGGCGCTGAGGGAGGGAGGGCCTTGGAACAGAAGTCATTAGGTCTTAAAGGAGAGAGGGTCAGGGCTGGATTACCGGGTCTGGATGGGGACCGGGCTTCTTGATCCCAGCGGGAGACACAGCCCGTGGGCTCTTTGGCCTTCAGGAGCTAAGGAAGGGGCCCCCTGGTCGGGGGAGAGGAGCGGGGCGGGACCTGCAGTCTGGGAGAGGCGGGACCCGTGCCCTGACCGCCCCCGCCCCCAGGAGCGCCTGGACCATGCTGCTCAGCGCCTACTGGCACGGCCTGCACCCCGGCTACTACCTGAGCTTCCTGACCATCCCGCTGTGCCTGGCTGCCGAGGGCCGGCTGGAGTCCGCCCTGCGGGGGCGGCTGAGCCCCGCGGGCCAGAAGGCCTGGGACTGGGCGCACTGGTTCCTGAAGATGCGCGCCTACGACTACATGTGCATGGGCTTCGTGCTGCTCTCGCTGCGGGACACGCTGCGCTACTGGGCCTCCATCTACTTCTGCGTGCACCTGCTGGCCCTGGCGGCCCTGGGGCTGGGGCTGGCCCTGGGCGGCGGTGGCCCCGGCCGGCGGAAGGCAGCCTCACAGGCCCCCAGCCCTGCCCCGGAAAAGCTCCACGAGGAGTAAGCTGCCGCGAGCACCCTCGCCAGCGCCAGCGTTCGCCTGGAGTCCCGGGAACCGGGCTGCTGTGTCCTTTTCCAGGAAGAGTCCTTATCGGGCCAGGGGCCTGGAGAGGATTCCCTGCCCCGCAGCTGGACCCCTTGCCAGGCCAGGCTGGGCGTGCCACCTCCCCCAAGTCCCCTGCCCTCTGCGTGATCAAGGTCTTGTCCAGACGAGGACCGCCCTCATCTTGGCCGGGGTGCGGTGTTCACAGCCCTCCGCCTCCCAGAACGGGCCGGCAGTGTGCTTTCTGGGGCACCCAGCCTGCCTTCGGCACCCCAGAATCAGGGTGGGGCTTCAGGAGCGGGCCTGGGAGTGGGGAACCCTTTTCTTGAGCCTTTGGCTCCGTTTTTATTTCATCAAGTCAGTATTTCAGACTGGAAAGAGGACATAATCTCCCCATTCCATGAAGGGGAAACTGAGGCAGGCACGCAGCCGGGGACCGTTGCTCCTGGGCCTCCATCTGAGCCGCCTGAGGGCCCGACACTCCTGTCAGCCTGTTGTCACTCACCGGCCTGAGACAGGGCCAGAGTGTGTCAGTCTTTCCCAATAAAGTGTTGCAGAGACGCTGGCTCGTGTGGCAGTCTGTGGGCGGTAACTGGATGGAGGCCTGGTCCCCCTAAGCAGCCGCGTGGCTTGCTCCGCCGTCAGGACCCACTGGGCCTCAGCGTCCAGGAGGCCTCTCCCAGCAGGGGCTCCGAGTTCAGGGAAGTGTACTGTGATCCCTGGGGCCGCCTGGTGGCCAGGTAGGCGCCTGCCCGCCTCCTTCCCTGGGGCAGTCCCCGCCCAGGTGGCCGCTGGAGACGGAAGCAGCTGTGCCTGGGGCCATGGAAGGAACCCCTGCCTGGGAACCGGAAGCCTGGGGCGCCTCTGGGGGGTGGCCGGCCCCCCAGGAGGCCAGAGGAGGTGGGGGAGTCTGGGAGACTTGGATCCATGGGTCCTCAGGCTAAGTGGGAGTCGCAGACCGTGGCCTGCGTTCCAGGGCGCTGAGCACTGAAAGGGGAGGTGTTCCTGGGTTTCTAGAAGAGGAGGAACTGTTGGCCGGGACTCCGGGAGAGGTCGAGATCCCAGACTCGGAGAAAGACTGGGGGGGGGTCCCAAACTCCTGGGCTCCTCAGCCCTGGTAGGGTCCTCACCTGAGTCCTTGGGGAGGGTGTTTAGGGAAGTAGAAGAGGGGAATTCTAACCTCCCAGTCCAGGGCAGGAAGGGCTGGGGGCCTGGCCCATGGTGTGTGGGGGAGTGGTCTGGGGGCCTGGACCCCTGGGTCTGAGGAGAAGAGGCTGAGGGTCTGGCCCCTGGCGTGTGTGTGGGGTGGGGTGGGGGGGAGGTCTGGGGCCTGGCCCCTGGCTTGTGAGGGCGTCTGGGGGGGGCGGGGGGGCTGGGCCCACCTGGCCCCTGGTGTGTGTTGGGGGTCTGGGGGCCTGACCCCTGGTATGTGTGTGGGGGTCTGGGGGCCTGGCCCCTGGTGTGTGTGGGGATCTGTGGGCTGGCCCCTGGTGCGTGTGTGGGGGTCTGGGGGCCTGGCCCCTGGTGTGTGTGGGGGGTCTGAGGGCCTGGCCCCTGGTGTGTGTGGGGGGTCTGAGGGTCTGGCCCCTGGCGTGTGGGGGAAGATCTGGGGTCCTGCCCCTGCCCTGGTCCTCCCAGCCCGGCTCTCCTGCCCAGGCCGGTCGCTGTCCTCTGTGCTGAACGAGCTCCCCAGTGCTGCCACCCTGCGGTACCGCGGCCCTGGGGTGCTGCCTTGGGGGGCTCTAGAGGAGGAGGAGGAGGACGGAGGAAGGAGCATCCAGGCCTTCCGAGAAGATGCCCAGCAGGAGCTGCAGGAGCCGCGCCCCTCCCGGGAGCTGCCCTGGCCCATGCAGGCCAGGCGGGCACACAGGTGACCTCCGCCTCTCTGAGTTGCTGTCCTGGTCCTCCCCTGCCGCGCTCCTTCCTGGCGCACCACCCCAGCGTCTGGGCTGGCTTCTCCCCAGTCTGCTTCCAGGGCTCTGCCTGCAACCTGCCTGCTCCCCCAGGCCTGCCTCTCAGGTCTTCCCGGAGGATGGGAATGCTGGCCCCTGCTTAAGGATGCTTAGGCATTTCTTTTCTCTTTTTTCTAAGTTTATTTCCTTCATGAGTGACAGAGACATGGCACTCCTGCGAGGGCTTCGGGCCGGCAATCACCCCCAGCTTCAGCCAGCTGCGGGTCCGGGAGGGTGCGGCGTGCTCGGGGACTCGGGAGAATCAGGCTCTCGCGGCGAGGCCGCCGTTTTTGGCGCTTGCTTCCTCGCTGTCCTCCAGGGCTCCCACCCGCGCGCAGCCTCGCTCTGGGACGTGGTGTGGACGGAACCGCCTCTGTTCTGTGTGCCGAGCTGAGCGGTTTGTTTCTGTGTATGGCTGCGGAGCACTCCGTGTTAGGATACACCTCGCTGTCGATCCTGCTCCGTGCAGGACTGTCTCTACCGTGAGGGGCTCCTAAGGCCTCCACTTGGCGTCTCTAACTCTGTTTCCCTCCCAGGCGGAGCCAAGCCAGGGACCACGTGGCCTTGGGCTCCGAGTCCAGGGCGGCCCACTGGGCCCTGCTGCTTCGGAGGTCCAAGGAGAAGATAAACGAGGGCGTGCGCACCTTGCAGCCCTGGGCGTGGACGCTGAAGAAGATCGGGGGTGCGCTGGCGTAGGGCTGGCGTCCTGGGGGTGGGGACCAGACCCCCGGGTCTGGGGCCGGGCTCGGAGCCGCGAGGCCGGGAGCGGCCGGCCCGCGCTCACTGTCTCTGCTGCCCCCTGCAGGCCAGTTTGGCGCCGGCACGGAGTCCTACTTCTCCCTGCTGCGCTTCCTGCTGCTGCTCAACGTGCTGGCCTCTGTGCTTAAGGCCTGCATGGTGCTGCTGCCCACCTGGCTGGAAGGGGCTCCCCCTGGGCCCTCTGGCTCTGGCGAGTGCGGCTCCTATAACCCCCACCCGACTGGCCTGGTCTCCTTCCCCACTCAGCTCTTCAACTTGCTCTCAGGAGAGGTGGGTGCTCTCAGTGCCCCCCACCTCTGACCCTGCCAGCCCGCTCCCAGCCCCGGGTGACGCCGGCTGCGTTCCTCCCCAGGGCTACCTGGAATGGTCCCCTCTCTTCTACGGGTTCTACCCTCCCCACCTGCGCCTGGCGGTCACCTACCTGTGCTCCGTCTTTGCCATCGGCCTCGTCTGCCTCCTGCTCATCCTGCATCGGTCAGTGACGGCGCCCACCGGGAACCCCTGGGCCAGTCCCTCCCCCAGGACACCGAGCTTGCTCTGCGGTCCCTTTCTGTTTTCAATGAAATCAATTTCTTTTCAAATTTATTTCTTCCAAGATGGAAAGAGCTAGTAGAAACCTCCAACAGGGTCCTCGCGGTGGCCCACAGGTCTCGGCTGGCGGATCCCCCACGGGTCTCAGCCGGCGGATCCCCCACATGTATACCCTCATGCTGAGGGCGAGCTCCGGACAAGGACAGGTCCTCACCCCTGTCCTGGCCCCTGAGCTGAAATCTTTCTTTTCATTGCCAGAGGGCATGTGTGCTTACCAGAGACAGAGAGAAAGCACCCCAGTGGGGTGTGCTCATGCCACCATCTCTTCTCCATCTGGTGGGGATCAGACACGCCCAGCGTGTTTTTCAAGCCAGTGGGGCCAAAATTTGTAATGTGGTTGGCCATGTGGGGTCCCTTGTGGGAATCCCGAGGGCCAGCCAGGAATCAGCTTTAAAATGTTTCTTATGGAACCAGCAGTTGGCGTAATGGCTATGTCACTGGACTCCCACGTAGTCGACCGCAGTTCGAATCCCAGACCTGGTGGCTTAAACTCACGCTGAGACGTGTGTGTGCGTGCTCAAGATCCTGAATGGAGAATGGGGGAGAAGGGATTGCGGTGTGGCCATCCCCCGGGGGTGATTTCTCGTTTTCTGTCTCTCTGTCTCTCTCTGTCTTTCTGGTGAGCGCACGCACCCTGTAGGAAAAACCTCTTTTAAAAAGAATATTTCTTACATGGTAAGGGCAGCGATACGAGAGGGGAAGTTTTTCCCTCCCCTGTGGCTCAGGCCCCAGTGGGGAGGGTGATAGGAAACAAGCACCCTGCAGGAACCATGACCACGGCCTTCCTCGAGGGAAGCGGTGCTCTGCAGGGAGCAATGGGGGTCACGCGGCCCTCCTGAGCACCTACCATACACAGGCGCTTTCTAAGCAGTTGGGATAGGCAGTGAGTAAGAGACAGGAAAACAGGAAAGCAAACACGGTCCCATCAGGTGGGTACATCCTACTCCAGCTGGAAGCCGGGCAGGTTACCAGGGCAGGGAGCCATGTGCCAGGGGCGTGGGCGGGCCCTGCAGGTGGGCGTGCTCAGTCCTCTGGCCTCTACCTCCATGGCTCTCCAGGTCCGGGCCCCCCCCCCCGGGTCTCTTTACTGCTCCCACTTCTCTGGGCCTGCCCTTCTCTCTAGCTCTCGGACCTCTCTCTAAGTCTCTTTCTGGAAACTCCCTGGCGCGGTCTTCATTTCCTTCTCCTGGGTTCTCTTTGGGGCATCTGCCTGTCTCTCTCTGGGGCCCTGCCGGGTATCCCAGGTGCCTGTCTGTTCGGTGGGTGACTGTGCCCCAGGTCCCTTCGGAACCTCTCTTGGCCTTTGGCTCCAATGTCTCACATGGCTCTACCACAGTGACTCTGCGAGGTGGGGGTTCGCCACGGGCCAAAGGTCGTGGGGTTGTGTTCCTGTCCGCCCGGCGACAGGAGTGCCCTCATGCCTGCTCGAGGCTGTCCTCACAGTGCCCAGCTCCCGGTCTCCCCTCTCAGCTCAGTGTCCGGGCTGAAGCAGACGTTGCTGGCCGAGTCGGGGGCGCTGACCAGCTACAGCCACCGGGTGTTCTCGGCCTGGGACTTCGGCCTCTGCGGGGACGTCCACGTGCGGCTGCGCCAGCACAACATCCTCTACGAGCTGCAGGTGCGCCAGGGGCCGGAGCCAGCCAGGACAGGGCTGAGCTCGCGCGCAGGGCTCGCCCACGCTGGGCGAAGCTTGCTTCCAGGGAGGCAGATCTCGGGGAATGAAGGGGTGCGAGGAGGCACGATGGGATGCCTGAGGTCGGAGGGTGCAGGAAAAGCAAACATCCGTAAGGGGCAGAGAGCCAGGGCGCCTCGGTTCAAATGTAAGTGCTGGGCGTGGCCACAGGGGGGCGGGACTCCAGAGCAGAACTGGACCGCTCGGAAGGCTGTGCCTGGCAGGGTCTCGGGGTACCGTCTGCATACCTGGGGAGGGGTTTGGGACGTGGGCGGAGCCTAGGGAGGAGCAGCCAGGAGAGCTGGGTGGGCCGGCAGGGCTCTGGAGCCAGTGGGTAACCGGCTGTAGAGGTCCTGGGGGATGAGGGAGGGCTAGATCAGTTCAAGTCAAGGAGGGGCTCTGCAGGGGCCTGGAGGGGGGGCGAAGCCTACATGGACGTTGGTCCTGGGTCAGGTGGAGCTGGAAGAAGCTGCGGTGCGGCGCCGAGCCGCGGTGCGGACGCTGGGCCAGCAAACCAGGGTGTGGTTTGTGCGCGCACTGGTCAACCTCCTGGTGGTCACGCTCCTGGGGGCAGCCTTCTATGGCATCTACTGGGCTACAGCGTACACCGTGCAGCTGCAGGTGAGGAGGGGCTGGGAAGTCTTGGATTCCCAGAATCTCAACGGGGAGGCATGGCGTGGGGTGTGTCTGGACCCCGGACTTCGCGTTCTGGAGGAAGAAGAGGCTGGGGAGGATCGTAATCGCGGTCCCTTCAGGACTCCAGAGCCTCTCTCTTCTCCGTCCCGTCCGCCCCTCCAGGAGGAGCCCTTTGTCCAGCAGAGGCCGCTGCTGAAGCTTGGGGTGGATTACCTTCCGTCCATCTTCATCTCGGGGGTCAACTTCGTGCTGCCGCCGGTGTTCAAGCTCATTGCCCCACTGGAGGGCTACACTCGGAGCCGCCAGATCGTCTTTATCTTGCTCAGGTTTTTGCCTTGTGGAGTGCGTTGGGGATGATGGGGGACGGGGAGCGGTTTCGGGGACGTTGTCTGGCAAATAAGCCGCAGAAGCCCCAGGATATAGGACCCAGGGAGATCGGGATTCGCCGACGCTCACGGAGCCTCAGTTGCCTTGGGAAGTGGGAAGGAGCGTGAGCACGCCCCCTGCAGGAGGGCCCTGCGTGCCGGCGGCCAGTGCCGCTTCCCGTCCTCCCTCCCCAGGACCGTGTTTCTCCGCCTGGCCTCCCTGCTGGTCCTGCTGTTCTCTCTGTGGGATAAGATCACTTGCGGGGGCAACGCCGAGGCTCAGGGGTGCAAAACCTGTGGCTACAATTACAAAGAACTTCCGGTGAGGCCACGTGGGCTTGTGTGGGGGAAATGCTGGGTCCCGCAAGGAAAGGAGCTGGGCAAGTCCAGATCTCAGGTTCGTTAAGGAAGAGCCCCCTGAGGACCGGGGTACAGATACTCGAACAACCTGAGGCCCCCGCCAGCGAGAAAACATGGATAGCGCGCCTAAGCCTGCGATTCAGGGACTCGCAGGTCGGGCCCAGTCCTGAGGCCCTTCCGCCTCTGCTCCTTCCTCAGTGCTGGGAGACCCGGCTGGGCCAGGAGATGTACAAGCTCCTGCTCTTCGACCTGCTCGCCGGCCTGGCAGTCACGCTGCTGCTCCAGTTTCCTCGGAAGTGAGCCCGCCCCTCCCGAGGGCGCCTGCCCTCGCCCAGGGTTTACGCGTTACCTCCCTCTGAAGTCGCTTCTGCAGCTACCCGCGGGACCCCTGCCCCGCCAGTCCTCAGGCCCCGCCCCTGGACACACCCCCTCCACGCTGAAGCTTGAAGGTCACTTCGGATTGGTGGCAGGGGTGGCGGGGGCGGGCCAATCCTGGGCCGGCACGCCCCTGACGCCCCGCCCCGCCCCTCAGGCTGCTCTGTGGCCTCTGTCCCGGGGCCCTGGGCCGAGTGCTGGGGACCCAGGAGTTCCAGGTGCCTGATGAGGTGCTAGGGCTCATCTACGCGCAGACGGTGGTCTGGGTGGGGAGTTTCTTCTGCCCGTTACTGCCCATGCTCAACACGGCCAAGTTTCTGCTGCTTTTCTACTTGAAGAAGGTGAGGGCTGGGGAGGACCCCGGGGTCTGAGACCGGAATGGGACCCGGGGAAGGAGGACGCTGGGGACCCGGAATACTAGGTCCTGCCAGAGGAGGGCTAAAGGAAGGACGGAATCGTGGATCTGGGAGAAAGGCATAGGCGCAGGTCTAGGGCATCCCACCGTCCACATGTGAAGGACGTGAGGTTTAGACTCCTGGGTCTTTTTCTTACTTTGTTTCCATGAGTGAGAGAGCAGAGAGCACCCCCGACAGGGTCTGATGCTGCTGTGACCTACCCAGCTGCAGCCAGTCCGGGGTCATTGGCACATGCCCGTCGGGTGTACTCAGGGAGGTCTCGGGGGCAAGCCAGGGCCCTTCCCACGCGGGACAGCCGAGCAAGGCACTGCTTACCTCTGTGCCACCGACCAGCCTGACTCCTGGGTCCTGACTGAGGGGAGAGCCAGGGTTCCTCATACTTCCCTTCCCTCTCCTTCCCCTCCGACAGTTCACCCTCTTCTCCACCTGTTCCCCGGCCTCCCGCACCTTCCGGGCCTCCACAGTGAACTTCTTTTTCCCCCTGGTCCTCCTCGTGGGCCTGGCCATCTCCGCTGTTCCGGTGCTGTACAGCATCTTCGTGTAAGTGTGAGGGTCTCCTGCCTCTCTCCTTCCCTCCCCTCACTCACTGCTGGCCCCACCTGAGCTCATCCCCTCTCTGGCTTCAGGATCCCGCCTTCTAAGCTGTGTGGTCCATTCCGGGGACAGTTGTCCATCTGGGACCCGATTCCTAAGACTATATGCACCCTCCCTAAAACCGCCAAAAACTTGCTCTTCTTCCTGGGGACCCAGGGTTTTGCTGTGCCCCTTCTGCTGCTTTCCAGGTGAGAGGTCCAAGTTTGGATGCTCGTGGTGGCCCTGCCATCTGGAGGGAGGACTGGGGGCCTGGTCTGGTTGAGGTTCTGAACTCCTTGAGCCCGAGGGAGGAGCTATTTTGGGGATTGCTAAGCACCCTGCACGTTAGGGAGTAGCCTCCATCCCTGCCTCCTCTAGCATCCTGATGGCATATACCGTGGCCCTGGCTAACTCCTACGGACGCCTCGTCTCTGAGCTCAAACGCCAGATGGAGTCGGTGAGCCAGGCCGGGTCCCTGGGAATTGTCCCGGGGGACGTAGAGAGAGAGACGTGAGAGAAGGAAGGTCCGTCTCACTTTCACTTCTCTCCACCCCAGGAGGCACAGAATAAAGTCTTCCTGGCACAACGTGCGGTGGCGCTGAGCTCGGCCAGCGGGGCTCTTTGACCTCCCCAGCCTGGCTCGGGATGACGTCCCACTTTCAGACCCCAGACCCCTTGTAAGCCTCGGTTACGTCATTCACAAACTCGAAGAACTGGAGTAGACTCCACGTGCCCTTTCATCCCAGAACCCGTGCCGCCCAGCTTCTGACTCTAATGAACCTCTTTCTTGATCAATAAATACAGCCCAGGATGCTGAGCGCTCTTTGAAACCCGAGTCTCGAAACCGGGGGCGGGGCTTCAGCGGGCGTGAGCCAATCAAATGTGTCGGCCCGGGAGGGTCTCTCCCAAGGAGACTTGACGGACGTGTCAGCCAATCGGTGGTCGCACACGGCGAGGCTAGGGGCGGGGCAATCTCTGATTGACTCAGAACCCTGGTGCGAGGCGGTTGCTGGGTGACACCACGCGCCGAAGCCTGGGATTCGCTCTGATGAAGCGTATCTCAACCAACCAGCTCTTGCTACGGATCTGGAGAAGGCGTGCCAACTAGCCCAGAGCCAATCTGTGGCCGAGAAAAGGACAACAGGGCGGGGACAGTCCCTTCCCAATCGGAAGTGCCGGGGGGCGGGCCCCCCAGTTCAGGCAGGCTACGGCGCCATGAATATCTTGCCCAAGAAGAGCTGGCACGTCCGCAACAAGGACAATGTCGCCCGCGTGCGGCGTGACGAGGCTCAGGCTCGGGAGGAGGAGAAGGAGCGTGAACGAAGGGTGCTGCTTGCTCAGCAAGAGGTAAGCTCCGAGTCCGGCCGGGCGAAGCTCCCGGGGCCAAGCGCGCAGGCGCCGCGGACTGGGCCGGAAGTGGAGGCCGCGCAGGCGCAATGCGCCCGACGTGTGGCGTGGTGCTGGCAGCCGAGCCAGCCTGTGGGGAGGTTGCTCTGCGAATTCTGTGCTCTCCTCCACGGAACCTCCCTGACCTCGCCCCGGTCTTGGTTTCTTCTGCTCGTATACCAAGTGGTCAGGGCAGTGCTTAGCATGGAGTGGCAGCTTAATAATTGAATGAACACTTGAAAAATCGTTGGAGCGTTCTATAAAAGAGAATTCGGACGTCTTTTTAGTTTGCCTGCTGTTTATTGAGCACCTGCTGCATGCTGCCCCGTGCAGAGCGCTTGGCTTGGGAAATCCATCATAAGCACCGTTCATTCTTATAGGCAGCGGTTACCGCCCCCGTGTAAAGAAGTGAGATAGCTTCAGAGGAAAAAGGCATAGCGGAAGAGTGACAAGGGACACCGCTGCCCAGACACACACGAGCAGTAGAGACTTTCTTAATAGACAGAGACAGTGAGAGGGAAAGTGAGAAATCACCCGGTGCAGAGCGATGGCCACACCCTCGAGCCGTTCTCCCAGCACGCATGCGCACACACCCCGCATGAGTTTGAAGCCACCCGGTCCAGGACTTGAACTGCAGTCCGCCATGTGGGAGTCTAGCAACATAACCACTAGGCCATCTGCTGGCCCCCCCGTGAATAACTTAATATGTTTTGTGGACACCTTTCAGACATGGCTAATTTATCCTCACCAATGACCCAGAGGTGGTCTAATCTCTAAATTCATGTGTATCCCTAGAAGGTACTACCCAACTTGGGGTGGTGACTCGGAGCCATGCTTGGTGTTAGGCTGCCATGAGGACTGTCTGCCACTGCGGATCGGGACCCATGCTCGCTCTGCCAGGCAGTTTACAGGCTACCCTCGCCGTCCGGCCATGCACCGCCGCTCTCCCCAGGCTAGACAGCTGCTGCTGGGCTCGCAGTGCTGCGTCCCCTTTCTTGCATCCCAAGCAGCATGGACTGTAACTCTCCTGTGGCCAGCACCGACTCCGATCCTGAGTCGCCTCCCAGTCCTGGATGTCCTACCGCTAACTCTTTTCCCCAGGCCCGCACAGAATTTCTACGGAAGAAAGCCAGGCATCAGAACTCACGGCCTGAGCTGGAAGCAGCAGAGGCAGAAGCCCCAAGTTCTGGCCCTGTGGACCTATTTCGGGAACTGCTGGAGGACGGGAAAGGGGTAGCCAGAGGCAATAAAGAATATGAGGAAGAGAAGCGACAGGAGAAGGTAAAGCAGCCTCCCACTTTATCAGAATCAGGACAGCTGGGGAGGGAGGGGTGCCACTTGGCCCTGGAGTGTGGCTGCGGAGTGCAGGCACGGGCCAGGATGGGTGTTCAGTGACCATGTGGAGAACTTACACAGTACCAGGACGGTGCAAGGGGCACAGGTCCCGCATCGGGTACCCACTGCCCTGGCAGCGGATGCTGGAGACCCTCAGCTGTGGTAGGACCTGTCAGGTCTCCAGCCTGACGCCCGAACCCTACCAAGATCTGTGACATGGTCATTGTTTAAAGATGAAATACAAATGCGCCTGGTCACTCACCTGCTCTCTGGGACTGCCCAGACTCGAGGTTGTGTGCCCGCCTCAGTCACTCCTCTGCTCGCCACCTTCCTTCGGGTTCTTCTCCAGGTACCCCAAGATGCCTGCCTTTGAACCCTGAAGTAGCTCCACACCCCCTAACCCCCCGCATTCTGCGACTGCAGCCCATCTCTGGGCAGGAGCGCTGTGTCCGCTGGTCCAGGACAGGCCTTTGATGCCCGCTGGATGACAGAACGCCCTGGGTTTCCCTGTCGCCACGTGCAGGGTCCCTGACACCCTGAGGAGACTACTCCATCCCTGTGCTTTCTGGTCCCTCAGGAGAGGCAGGAGAAAGCCCTGGGCATCCTGACGTACCTGGGCCAGAGCGCAGCCGAGGCCCAGACTCAGCCTCCGTGGTACCAGCTGCCGCCTGGGCGAGGCAGCCCCCCGCCTGGCCCAGGCCCAGACGAGAAGCTCAAGAGCCGCCTGGACCCTCTGCGGGAGATGCAGAAACACCTGGGGAGAAAGAGAAGGCCGAGCAGCGACGAAGGCAGGAAGGACAAGAAAGGCAGCAGGGAAAAGGAGGCATCTGGGAAGCAGCGGCTTCACAAGTGAGGAGGCCCCAGCCCAGCACACAGCACGGCCGGGGGCACTGCGACGTCAGGGACTGGCCCTCGGCGTGTAGTTCAAGCGCCCGGGGTCCTGAGGCCCCGTGTGGTCTGTGGGTGCAGCCCAGTGGTGGTCACCCTTCCCACTGTGGTCCTCATGTGTACAGTGGAAACTTCCAGAGAAGACACCATTGCTTTGATGGCTGGCATGGACCTCGCGTCCACAATTTTTTTCTTTTTTTGTTGAGATTTTTGCTGTAGGGCATGTGTGCTCACCAGAGACAGACACACAAAGTGAGAAACCACCCTCCACCCAGAAGGGATGGCCATGCCACAATCCCTTCTCAGTTCTCTCAGGATTTGGGGCACACACACACCCAGCATGAGTTTTAAGCTGGCAGGTATAGGACCCGAACCGCTGTCAACTACATGGGAGTCTAGGAATGTAACCATTACACCAACTGGCTCTCTGTTCTTTCGCTTTTAAAAACTTGATGTAGAGTGTGTGTGCTTACTGGAGACAGGGAAAGTTTGCACCCCCCACGGAGGAGGGCCATGCCACAATGCCTTCTCCATCCTTGGGATTTGGGGCCTGCATGCACACACATCCAGCGTGCTTCTCAAGGCTGCCAGATCTGGGGCTCAAACTGCAGTCAACCATGTTGAGACCCAGCTGCCCCAACCTCCATGCCGCTGGCTGGCCCTCTGCTTATCTTCAGGTTTTGCCACAGGGCACATGCGTTCATGAGAGACGGAGAAGGAAAGTGAGATGGCCCTGCCACAGTCTCTTCATTCTCAGGACGTTGGCCATGCACACACGTGGCTGCCAGGTCTAGAGACTCTAAACGCAGTCAGTGTGGGCTTCCAGCACCTTAACCACATGCCACCTGCTGGCCCCCTCTGTTCATTTCTATTAAAAATTTGCTGTGTAATACCAGAATACCAGATAGGAGCCATTTAAAAGCTCTTGGAGTTTTTTTTGTTTTTGTTTTTTTGAGGTCCTTGTTCTTAAAAGCATCAAGGAACCCTGAGATGCCAAGGTTAGAACCACTAGGTTAGCCCAGAAGCAGATCCGTGTCCCAGGGCACCAGGCCTGAGCAGATGCAGTTGTGTGTTTTTCTGCAGGAGGGTAAACTGAGGCCTGGAGAGGCCTAGGGTACTGCTCAGTGTTTTGTTCCACAGGTGGGAGGCCCAGGGTTGCCCTTGGTACCCTTTCCCACAGGTCTCAGGAGCTGAGGCCGGGAGCACATTCGGTGCAGGCTGAAGTCCCAGACCAGGGTGCCTTCAGTGGGTGGTGGTGGGGGGGTGACTCTCAAGGCTTCCGGCTTCCTGACCAGACCCTTCTCCCCTCAGACCCCCAACCCTAGACCAGCTCCGAGCTGAACGGCTCCGGCGGGAAGCGGCTGAGAGGGCTCGGGCAGAGGCCCTGCTGGCACGGATCCAAGGCCGGGCACCACAGGAAGG